GGGGTTGCAGGCGCGTAAGGCCGACAACCTTACCGCCATCTGTGAGCTGTCTTGAAAATGTGGAAGCCTCGATGTCTCACAACCCTATGGGCCTTCACGGCCTGTTCCAGGGATAGCTTTACCTTTTTTCAACCTTTGCAATGGAGACACAACCTATCTTCCGAGTGGTAGGAAATGAATGTGTATTGTTACTTGGATGAACTTCATGCTTTGAAGGGTTGGAAAGAGTTTCTTTAACCTTAGGGCAATTAAAATTAAAACATTTTCTCTTCCCTTCCTCAATGTGTAACCCTGAAATCACACGCGAAACACTAAAATCTGAAAAGACATCGCTTTCGAATGTCATGAAACAGGAGCTTGAAAACTGTCGAGCAATCAACATTTAAAATGCGACTGCCAAAATACCTGATGAATCTGATTTACAGAATACCTAATTTACCATTAGCATCCTGTGCCTTCCATAACCACTTACATACCACATACCAAAAGCAGTTTCCATAATACACCCTCACACATCAAGCTTATATGCTAATGAATAGAGTGGACGCCACTTCGGGACACACCTTATTCGATAACAATTACCGATGAAACAAGAATGTTTCGAGTCTTTTACTGACGCATAGCGGGAATGTGAACACAAAGGTGTAAGCGGCAGAAAGTAAACTACGAAAATCATGACACACAAGAACCTTCTTCAAGAAAGCTAACAATAAAAATGAAACTGTCACAGTGTGCCCGGAAATCCACATCACTAAAACACATAAAGAAAATGTTAAAATCAATAATTTGAAAATTTCTTCTAAAGTTACATATTGTGTTCTCTGAGATCATTAATAAAAATCAGGCACTGGAGTTTACGTAGCAGTCAACGCGCCATTTACTGACACCTTTACGGCACCAATCAACAAGCACCAAAAACCTTTGTCACCAGACGTACTTGCACAGCGTAGGGCTGCCACACGTTCCTTCAAAGTTTTACATTCTTCCATTCTCATTTTCAGCGCAAACAAGTGTGTTCAGGAAAGGCACGATAGTTAAGTCCGACTGCGCCTGCACTGTACACATCGCACGGCGAGAATTCGAAAATAATTGTAGGTCACTAATACGCTTCTCCAAGCCGGTCACGGTAGCCGAGCGGTCTAAGGCGTGCACCGTCTTCGCTCGTTCGGAAGCCGGGATCGTGGGTTCGAATCCCACTCACGGCATGGATGTGAGTGTGCGTTTTTCTGTTTGTCTACAGGTAGAGGCCTTGCGATGAGCTGATCACCCGCCCAAGGAGTCCTACCCTATGTCTTAAGATCTAGAAAAACCGACGTGAAGGGAGAAGTTCATGAAGGTAGGCCTAGGCCCACTGGGGCTGTAGGATCAAGGAAAAAAAATACTCTTATCCAACTTTCAGCTGCTAACAAATCAGCATCTTTTTGCTCACCATGTGCGCATTTGTAAATAATGTTTTCTCGTTTCTTCCAACGGTTAAACCATCCCTCTGTTGCAACAAAATTGTCTTTCCCCATTTTCTTAGCAAGCTCCTCTGCTTTCTGTCGCATCAGCGGACCGTGAACACGGGCATCTTGTTCGCGAACGTTAGTGAACCAAAGTTTTAATGCGGATTCCACCTGACCGTCTTTTCCACTACGATTTCTCTTACAGTTCAAGTTTTCATTTAGTTTTACTGACCTCTCAATAACACCTCGTTTTTTTAAAATTGTACACAAAAGAGGCTGCGAAATTTTTAACTGCACTGCTGCCTTACGTTGACTCATTTTCGGCAATTTATCGTAGCGTTCTAATATGGAAACTTTTTCTTTAAAGGTTAAATCGTTACGTTTCTTTTGCACTTCCGCCATTACAGCAGTAATATATTCCTCCACCGCAGAACAATCGAACTGGTAAGAGCGCAGGTGATTTTCACGGTGACATGGCTCCTACGTCAAATGTCCGACGACACAGCAGTAACTTCATACATAACATGTCGGAGCTCAAGAAGTAACCAGGATGTTACGTAATCATTTCCACCGCGCATGCGTCAAGGCCGCGATAAAAATCGTAATGCTGACGGCAATAAACTGAGTTTTTTTCTATGTACTGGTATGTCTGATCGGGACTGCATAAAGGCGATAATGTTACACGAACGATAACATTATTCGTGATTACAATAGGCGGCGTCCACTGTAATTCCTAGGCAATCATTATTTATTTTCCTACACACATGCTTCGGCACACGGTAGCGTAGTTCGTTGGGGCACTATGCTACAGGCCGGAAGGTCGCGGGTTCGATTCCCAATGAGGCTGCTTTTTTTTCTTCACAAGATCTAATCCATCCATCCGCACTATGGGCCTGGGGCCGGCTGAGCCTCTAACAGAAATGAGTTCCAGAAATCTTCATGGGGCTAATGGGCGGCAGGCGCGAAAGGCTGACAACTTCACCGCCATGTGTGAACTGAATGTCTAGATTCTAGACAGTCAGTTTACTTTATAGACTCTAGAAATTGTGGGAGCCTCGACTTCTCACAACTCTATAGGCCTTCACGGCCTGTTAACAGGGGTAGCTTTGCCTTTTTATACACACGTTTGACTTTTCCAGGACTCGTCCACTTTACATGACAGTGTGATTAAGATTTGTGAGTTGAGTAGATTGTAGTGGGTTTGGTCAGCCAGTCTGAACCCTGTTCAGCCTATGTGCCCCTTTGTCTTGGAATGGAACTTCAGAGAATTCCTTTTCAAAAGCGACTTAATTTATATCTCAAACATTATACATGCTGCAGCACAGTTCCTTTCTTTCTAAACGAACTTCATTTTTTTTTCCTTGGCACTACAGCCCCAGTGGGCCTAGGCCTAGGCCTACCTCCATGAACTCCGTTCACTTCAGTTTTTCTAGATCTTACACATTCGGTAGGACTCCTTGGGCGGGTAATCAGCTCGTCGCAAGGCCTCTACCTGTACACAAACACAGAAAAACGCAACACACAAACTAAACATCCATGCCCTGAGTGGGATTCGAACCCACGATGCCGGTTTCCAAGCGAGCGAAGAGAGTACATGCCTTAGGCCGCTCGGCTACCGTGACCGGCATCCTTTATTCATTACACGAATAAAAAAGTCGATGTATTTAGGCCCCTTCAACCCGTGCTTGATATTGTGGCATGTAGACCCGTTGCTAGACAACGACCGTGAAATATTAAACTGCTCAATAGCCGTTGCTACGTAACGGCTCCGCAAACAAGAATGTTTCCAGGGCAACAAGAGAATAGAGCAGTAACGGAAACGGTGTTTTCTAAGCGGTCGCTGAGTTGGAGGGGTGCTGCGGTTCAGTCATGGTGAGCTGTTGCTGTTACAAATCGGTAGCTGAGGCCGTGAGGCGTCGCTACCAAGCAACGGTTAATGAAGACTAACAGACTGAGAAGACTTATTGCGTCCTATTGTGATCTGCGAAGTGTGTAGAACAGTGAGGGCATAATCCTTACGTGTATTCACGAGTTGTGCTTAAAGAGTCTAATAGATCTGATTACCAATCCAAACCCCGTCTATCGTCACTATCACGTGTACGAAATACTTCCCACTGCCCCTTCACATACCCCTCAGTTAAGAATCGCTTATCAGAGTAACCCTTGCCAACAGAAGGAAGTTCACGTTTCTCAAAAACAAAGTGGCTGACAAGACAAAAGTCTTAGGACTGACTGGAGGTCAGGGGAATTGTGG